GAAATCGGTCGGAAATCATTAGGAACTGATGGGTTTGAAGTCTTCTTCAATGGGCGTACTAGGGCGGTTTTCCAGGATGTAGGGAAGGTAGCATTTTGAAGAGAATAATTGTATATATGATAAAGGATCGGAAGAATGGATGGCAATGCGGCTTTAATCAGTCTGACTGGGATGTTGTCGGGACCGTAATCATTGGTATGGGAGTTCTGAATGGATTTAAGAAGCTCATCTGGTGTAATATGGGAAAGAAAGAAGTGATCAGGATTAAAGGAAGAAAACATAGGAGCCAGACTGGACGTGGGAGATGTGGATGCAAGAGGACAGGAGACAAAGTGAGCGTTGAGGTTATCAGCAGAAACGGAATTGGACTGAGACTGGGGTGTATTACCAATGGTCAGTTTTCTAAGAATAGCCCACGTAGCCTTGGTATTGGGAGAGTTGGATAGGGAATGATGGTAGTAACGGGATTTAGCACGGCGTACTGCTGATTGAGTGCTATTTCGAAGCTGTTTGTAGGAGAGAAAATCATCAGGAAGTCGAGTTCGTTTAAACCGTCGCCTTGCAGCATCTCTTTCTCTCATACACTCCCTCAAAGCAGGGGTAAGCCAAGGAGCTGGAGGATATCGGATGGTTTTTGTGATAAGAGGAGCATGTCGGTCGAGGATAGAGTGAAGTTGAGTGGTAAGGATTTCTACCATGGTGTCTATGGATTTTGAGGAGTAGATGGGATCCCACTGGATATCGTCAAGACCTTCTGACAATGTTTCGTGAGTGAGATAATCTAGGTTTCGGAAGGATATTGTTCGGGGAGAAAAGGATGGAACAGGGACATTGTAAGAGATCTGGACAAGATCGTGGGAAGATAGAAACGGAACCGGGTGCTGAGATGCGGCAAGGAGTTTGTCTGAGGAATCCAGGATAATTAGATCGAGCCAGGACTCTGAATACTGAGTATGATGGGTTGGATTGTAAGGTACTATGTAAAGGCTGAGAGAATTAAAGAGGTTTGTTAGGTAGGAATAATCAGAGGATGGTGCCAGTAAATTGGTGTTAAAGTCACCGGAGAGGATGATGTTTGAGTAGGAAGGGATTAAGTTGTACAATAAAGTCTCAAGTGATTCATCGAAAGGAATTCTAGGAGGGCGATATATGACAGCAAACAGAATGGCAGATGAGGTGGTGAGGATTTCGGCGAAAAGGTATTCAACGTGCGGAGAATCGGTTATGGAAGAGCAGTGAAGGATTTTGGATTTGAGACTGTCATGGACAAAGAGACCTACTCCACCACCCGTGCGATCTACTCTGTCATGACGAAGGAGAGTATAGTTAGGTAGAAGGATCTGGGAGGACGGGATTGTGGGTTTCAACCAGGTTTCGGATACGGCAATTAAATGGTAGAAGTTATGGAGAAAAAAGTCGTAAAATTCATCAAAATGGGCTAAGAGTGACTGAGCGTTGACGTGGCAGGTTAGAAGGATATTAGTCATGGAAGAAGGAGGGGTGGCTTGGTAAACGGACAGAAGGAGTTAAGGATAGGAATATTTCTACAGCAGCTAGAGCCAATTGTGTGCAAGATCTCCTAGATATTAATAAGGATGGTAAACAAAAAATATAAAATTTAGTTAACGAAAAGCATATTCCTATTGTGCAAAAGAAAAAAAATACACAAATTAGAGTTTCTGAACAGATCAGACCTAAAATATTCTCATAAACAAAAATGAAATTATTATCATAGTCTATTATTAAAACAAACGCAACAAAAACATAAAACTGGGGATATAAAAAAGTAAAAACAAAATTGTTCGAAGTGATGTAACATGTATATGCATGTCAAGCAAACGTGTCTAAATCTGATGGTGAGTTGATGACGACGACCTGCTGTCCATCGTCTCGTCGACATTTCACCTTGCCTGCGCTAAACCAACTGTACCTGATTTTTCCTGCAGACCTCTTTTGCCGGGCCAGCCAGTACAGGTGTCTGTTGGTTACGGACATAGCTTCGCTCAGGTAGATCTTGTGGGCGTCATTTTCTTGCCATCCGAGGTGACGTGTTGAAAAATCCCTAATGACTTTTCGCCTCTGGATCAACTCATCCCTAAGCGACTGCCGGACGAACCTTACCACAAGCGGCCCAGGTGTATCGTCTTGCCTGGTTCTTATCCGTTCTGCATAGTCAATGTCCTCCACCTTTAGACTAAGGCCCAGGCCCGCCCCACGCTCATAACCAGGCCCATCGGGGTCTCTCCAGATCTCACTGGGACTCCTCTTATTTCTATTGCCCTGGAAAGGTGCAGTTGCTCACTTTTATTGAGCCTGATTTCGAGCTCCGAGACCCGAGACTTGAGAGTCGTGTTTTCCAAGACCCGTCCCTCAATATTGGTATTTTGAGCCTCCAGTAGTGACTCTCTAGAGTCTAATTTCGCCGCATTCTCAAAAGTTATGGAGGCTTGCTTTTCAAGAGATATTTTTAATTCTTTCACCTCGTTAGCATTGGCATCGAGGGAGAATTTTAATCCCTTGACCTCTTCTGTTAGATTTTTAATGGCAGCAAGTAACAGTTGTGACGTGCTGTCGACAGTTTGTTGTTGTGGCGCCGATCTTGGCGGGCTGAGACACTTGTCTGTCGGTTGGATATTTTTCCGAGCCTTTTCACATTTCGGGCATACCCAATTTTTTCGTAATGCCCTCAGTGCTTCAAACTCACTCTCGTCTGCGTTTAGACATTTTCCATGGAAAATGGCTTGACATGTTGTGACAGTGCATGCCATTGTTTTTTTTTCTTCTCTTGCTATGGTCTGTTTACAAATTGGGCATAAAACCATCTTGATAAGCGAGAGAAAAGAAGAAAGAGAAAAAAAAAATTACGTAAGTAACGTGGTAAAAAAATTGACGTTACCCCAACCTCGTCACTGGAAACACTGAGATATCTAGTACCTAGTCCTATTTATGCGCATGCGCTCCCCACCTATATTCTTATCTAGAGTGCCTGCAATAAATACCTTAAGCCGACTAAAATTATGATTTTTCCTTTTTTCTTCTGACGTGAAACGGCGTTGTATTGAAGAATCTTTTCTGTCTGTGGATATAACACGATTAATAGTTGGTTCTAACCAAAAATTATGACCGAACTCCTTCTAAAAACTGCGAAAATCACTAACTATAAACTGACTGAACTTTTATCATACGCTCTGAACTGAGGTCTAGACCACACTGAATAATAAATAATATTTTTAAAGAAACCTTCGTGGGGCGGACAAAAGGTACTTGTGTGCTGTATTTTGGAGACCCCTGGAGTAGACCAAAAGTCAGTGAACACCCACTCTGCATCAGACGCACAAAATGGTGGAGTGAAGAAGTCAAAGAAACAATCCACAGAAAGAAAGAGACATAGAAGGCATACCTGATGAACCATAAATCACAAAAATGGGAGGAGTATGTTATGTGCAGAAATGATGTAAGTGTGTAATAAGAGATGCCAATAAAAATTGCTGGACATTGGCTATAAGAAAAATATAAAGAAAATCTGAAAAAAAAAGTTAAAATACTGAAAAGTAAAACAACCAAAAAGATCAGAAATATATAAGATGAAAGTGGATGTGAGATCACAAACCCAGACAAGACCCTGGATAGATGGATAAGACATTTTTTTTTGTGTGTGTGGCAAAATGCAGCGCGGCCATGAAGAAGGCCTATTGTATGCCTCTATTAAAGTCACTACTCAGAGATAACATTACTCTTCACAGTTCTACGATCTCAGACAACCTCCAGAACATGAGGAAAAGACCATTTAAATGGCTCAATATGATAAGGTCTGGGAGGAAGATATAAAAGGTCTCAGGGAAAACTAAAGCTGGAGGAAGAGATGACATTTTCCTTGAATTTATTAAACACGAAGGAAATGTAATGACAATATCATTGCAATAACTTTTCCAGAAAATATGGGATGATAAGGTTATTCCGAAGGACTGGGAATACAACATTATAATGACAATTCATAAGAAAGATAGCACAACTGAATGTGGCAACTACTGGTCTAAATGCCTATCCCAAGTCAGCTACAAAATGTACACCACTATTTTAGAAAACAGGGCAAGGCCACTGATGGAACAAGGATTAGAAAATCAGGCTGATTTCCGACCATCGAATAAAAATCAAAGTATATATATATATATATATATATATATATATATATATCACTTTTCTAGACTTGAAACACCTGCCTTCAAGTCGGTACTCCTATGTGAAATATGGAGAGCACTTAAGCAAAGGGTATTCCCGAAGACCTGGCAGTAGTTAAATCAACATACCAAAGCCCTAAATGAATAGTACATATAAGTGACCAGAAAGTCCAAGCCATTTCTCTTGGAATGAGGTGTGAAACAGGAGGACAGCTTAAAATGTACATCAATTTGATTAAACATAAAATTTGAATCAATTAAATAATTATTGCTGAGATATAGCATGTGGAAAGATAGGAAAATAATGACAAAAAAAACAAAACAACTACAACATATGCTGTAAAAGTGATAACACTAGAAAAATAAGCTTAAAAACCTTAACAAAATCAAATTACAATTAAATGAAGTGAAGACAGGTGTTTCCTTCAGAATAAGAATAATAGTGGTCAATAATAAAAGACTTTAAGATTTTCGATAATGCAATATAATACAAGGAAAAACCAGTTATTGTCCAACTTGACGTCTGAACAGAATAGTAGTAACAATAAAATAATAATAGTATTCTTCAATAAATTAAATACAATCAACAGAAACAACCCTATTAAAGATTAAAATTTGTTATTTAATTTTCAGGAGTATTGATGAATATTGTAACATCTCACAGGTGTCACTCACCAGATCCAGCTGACATTTATTAGTGACACTTGTGAAGTTTTACCATAAACACAATTTTTTTAATATAATGAATAAAAAACAACCATTTTTGTTCCGTTTTAACATAAATGTTTGAAATATATCTCATGAATAAATTCTTATTATTACCAGAGACAGGAGCTATGCCTAGAGAAGAGAGCATTTCATCAACTTTTTTCTGATCTTTGTCCGGATTAGGGGTACGAAGTGCTGCTTCTTCGGCCTGAAATAATCAAAACAGTCAAAATAAAGTGATAAAATTTGAATCATTGTGTTTTTGTTGTAAGCACTTACATCTCTTTGCTCCTTTTCCCTTCTTCTCCTTTCCTTTTCCTCTCTGATGGCCTGTAGCTTGGCTTTTTTCTTTTCTAGTTCAGCTTTTCGGTCAGACATTTTCCTTTCTGAAGTATTTTGCTACAAGAAAATGTACAATTAGTTTAATTGAAATGTTTGAGAATCTAGGGTAATAATAGGAAAGCGACAATTTGAACTGAATAAAGAAACATGACAACAATATTTATTGATAATATGGGTGTGGCTAATTCCTTTAAAATTACTATAACATAAAACTTGCCATTTTTAATATGTAATTATAGTAAACCTGGTAAAATTCACGCTGATAGTGGATTACAAACTAGGCAGGTTATCTTGATAGAAACAAGCTAACCTCAACTAAAAGAAATATGTTCAAATCAGAAGAGAGCTGTTTGATGAAAGTTTGTTGAAAATACTTGTTTTACGAAGGAACAGTTACTTCAAAATATAATAAAGTTTTAAACACCAAAGCTTAAATCTTAAATGAAATTTTATATTACGTATTTTAGCAGGAAAAAATGACACATTTTATTGATTTTTGTTATATCAAATATATCATGAATACTATTTAGGCTTATAAATACTAAAAACAATTCATGATTATTTTATTACAGAAACAAAAAAAAATGTGCTGTTTTGTTTGGTTGAAATTCGAATTGTTCATAAAAATAACTTTAATATTTATTTGAGGTCAAGATACAGGAAAGCTACTAAAAATAAACAGCCAATGAAATGCTGCCAACAAGGAAGAAATGACGTCAGATAATGGAAATCGATGAACTTATATAAGGACCGCCCTCTTTTCCTCTGCATTCAGTCGTAAAGTTCTTGTGATAGAGACTTGTTCTAGTATTATTGAAGGTGAGTTTTATTTTCTTATGGAGTATTTGGATTTTGTATTATTATATGTAAGTTGTTCTATTTAGGTAGTACTATTATTCTACTATTATATATGTTTATGTATACTGATGCCAATTATATTGACTTTTATTATTTGATTAGCTTAAGTGATTAGGATTTTATTTGTCAAATTTGCGACTTCACTGTAAATAACGTTGATATAATTTACTTGAATCATATTGAAGGTGCTTTTTCGTATGATGTCTCGACCTAATCTTGTCAATTTTCTTTTCAATTCTATGATTGATTGCAGTTGTTATCAATGTATATATATTTCTAATTTCCTTCCTGAAATATTTCCAACCTAAATAGTTTTATTTCCTTGAATTACGTTTTGTCCTTCGAAATCTGCTGCGTCATCCAACGTCACTACCGTGTTTTGTTTTCAACAATTCATAACAATTTTTTTAAAAAAATCTCATTTTCCATGGTAGTCGACTCCATTATATGAATTTTCATAAGGAAATTATTAATAACAGTAGATTGCAGCATATGTAGACATGGATCGATAGGGCCTAGAATGTTCTCGTCTTGAGACGCCATTATTGAAGTGAGTTCCATGCTCTAGTGCAGGTTTGGTCTAAAGTTTGTCAACTTTCAGTTTTACTTTGAACACCTGGACATTTAGTTATTTAATTTGAGTTACCCTTTACGCCATATTTATACTTAAGATTGTTTTATTCATATCCATCATTTAGAATTTTAATAAGGTAATTCAGCTTATTTTATGATAACGGTTATTCCTTGTTTTTAATAAGTATTCTAGAATAATTAATTGTTGCTTTTTATAATTCTGTTTTTTATGTTAAGAAAAGATAAGTTTTGTTGTTGATAAATATTATTTAAGAAATAATCTGTCTACAATTCGATTTTCTAATAGCCATTTCTTTTGCATTTTATAATTCTGTTTTTAATGTTACAAAAGATAATTTTTGGTAAACCCTCAAGTATTATCAATGGGTTGTTCAATCTATTGCAAGAATTTAGTTGTTATCAGCCTTTCTGTTATAGGGACCCCTAGACATTCAATATTGCTTTTTCTCACTTTTTGACTGAAATATTACATCTTTAAAATTTATTATAGTGACATTCATTTAATAACAATAACCTTGCAAGAGGCTCTTAAGATTGCATCATTGTATATAAAATAATATTAACATTTAGATTACATCATTGCAAATCATTTATGCATGTCATCATTTCTTTGCAGTAATAAAATGTAATCTTCTAATTCAACTGAGGTTTTTTTTTTAAATTTGATCTTACATTTATTCACTTTTTGTATACTGTGCTATCATTGCTTTATTAAAGTATTTCAATTATGAACTTGAACAATTGTTTATATATATTCAATTTTTATAATATGTATTATACATATATCTGTATCTGCATTTTTTCGTCATTTCTTTATTTATTGTGATATCTTAATTTAATAATTCAGTTTTCTCTTCTTTATAGTTTGAAAATTTTTTTTTTTTTTTACTTACAATTTTGTATCCATATGACATTAATTGTTTCATATGTACTGGAAATAAAAAGAAGTGATAAGTTCTAACATTTGTAAATTTTAATTTTGAGACAAAGTGTTATACCTGAATATTTATATTTTTTTAATTGTTAAATCAAACCAATTATAAGCGTGAGTTTAATTGATATTACATTTATTACAATTAGCTTTTATTTATTTGAGTTAAATCATATTGTGTCATATGTTTACCATATTTTATAAAAATGAAAAAACTAAAAAAAACCTGGAATTTCTCCAAATTATTAGCAATTATTGGTTTATTCACTTCTTTTAAATTCATTATTATATAGGCAGGTAATTCATAGTACTTGATTTTAATTGACACTACAGTTTAGCATGTTGAGTAATTAATTTTATTTTTTCAGATTTAAAATGCAGATCTTCGTCAAGACACTTACCGGCAAAACAATTACATTAGAAGTTGAGCCTTCTGACACAATTGAAAATGTCAAGGCTAAAATTCAAGATAAAGAAGGAATCCCTCCAGACCAACAGAGGTTGATTTTTGCTGGAAAGCAGCTGGAAGATGGCCGTACTCTTTCAGATTACAATATTCAAAAAGAATCCACTTTACATTTAGTACTTCGTCTGAGAGGAGGCATGCAAATTTTTGTTAAAACACTGACCGGAAAAACAATTACATTAGAAGTAGAGCCTTCTGACACAATAGAAAATGTCAAGGCCAAAATTCAAGACAAAGAAGGAATCCCTCCAGACCAACAGAGGTTGATTTTTGCTGGAAAGCAGCTTGAAGATGGCCGCACTCTTTCCGATTATAACATTCAGAAGGAATCCACTTTACATCTAGTACTTCGTCTGAGAGGAGGCATGCAAATTTTTGTTAAAACACTGACCGGAAAAACAATCACATTAGAAGTTGAGCCTTCTGACACAATAGAAAATGTCAAGGCCAAAATCCAAGACAAAGAAGGAATCCCTCCAGACCAACAGAGGTTGATTTTCGCTGGTAAACAGCTTGAAGATGGCCGCACTCTTTCAGATTATAACATTCAGAAGGAATCCACTTTACATTTAGTTCTTCGTCTGAGAGGAGGAATGCAAATTTTTGTTAAAACTCTTACTGGTAAAACAATCACATTAGAAGTTGAGCCTTCTGACACAATCGAAAATGTCAAGGCCAAAATCCAAGACAAAGAAGGAATCCCTCCAGACCAACAGAGGTTGATTTTCGCTGGTAAACAGCTTGAAGATGGCCGCACTCTTTCAGATTATAACATTCAGAAGGAATCCACTTTACATTTAGTACTTCGTCTGAGAGGAGGAATGCAAATTTTTGTTAAAACTCTTACTGGTAAAACAATCACATTAGAAGTTGAGCCTTCTGACACGATCGAAAATGTAAAGGCTAAAATTCAAGACAAGGAAGGAATCCCTCCAGACCAACAGAGGTTGATTTTTGCTGGAAAGCAGCTGGAAGATGGCCGTACTCTTTCAGATTACAATATTCAAAAAGAATCTACTTTACATTTAGTACTTCGGCTGAGAGGAGGCATGCAAATTTTTGTGAAGACCTTGACTGGTAAAACCATCACCTTGGAAGTGGAGCCATCTGATACAATTGAAAATGTTAAAGCTAAAATTCAAGATAAAGAAGGAATTCCTCCAGACCAACAGAGGTTGATTTTTGCAGGTAAACAGCTCGAAGATGGTCGTACATTGTCTGACTATAATATTCAAAAGGAATCTACTCTTCATCTTGTCCTACGTTTAAGAGGAGGCATGCAGATCTTTGTCAAGACACTTACTGGTAAAACAATCACACTTGAAGTTGAGCCTTCAGACACAATTGAAAATGTGAAAGCTAAAATTCAAGATAAGGAAGGAATTCCTCCAGATCAGCAGAGGTTGATTTTTGCAGGTAAACAGCTCGAAGATGGTCGTACTTTGTCTGACTATAATATTCAAAAGGAATCTACTCTGCATTTGGTCCTTCGTCTGAGAGGAGGAATGCAAATTTTTGTAAAAACCTTGACTGGGAAAACTATTACATTAGAAGTGGAACCTTCTGACACTATTGAAAATGTTAAAGCTAAAATTCAAGATAAGGAAGGAATTCCACCAGATCAGCAGCGATTGATCTTTGCTGGAAAACAGTTGGAAGATGGTCGTACTTTATCTGATTATAACATTCAGAAGGAATCAACACTACATTTAGTATTACGTTTAAGAGGTGGAATGCAGATTTTTGTTAAGACGCTGACTGGAAAAACCATAACTTTAGAAGTTGAACCGTCAGATACCATTGAAAATGTAAAAGCCAAAATTCAAGATAAGGAAGGAATTCCGCCAGATCAGCAAAGGCTGATCTTTGCAGGAAAACAGTTAGAAGATGGGCGTACTCTTTCTGATTACAACATCCAAAAGGAATCTACTTTACATCTTGTACTAAGACTTCGAGGAGGCATGCAAATTTTTGTCAAGACTTTAACAGGGAAGACCATCACCTTAGAAGTTGAACCATCTGATACTATTGAGAACGTAAAAGCAAAAATCCAGGACAAAGAAGGAATTCCACCAGACCAGCAACGTTTGATCTTTGCTGGAAAACAACTTGAAGATGGCCGTACCCTTTCAGATTATAATATTCAAAAAGAGTCTACTCTTCATCTTGTACTTCGCTTGAGAGGTGGCATGCAGATTTTTGTAAAGACTCTAACTGGTAAGACCATAACCTTGGAAGTTGAGCCTTCAGATACTATTGAGAATGTTAAAGCCAAAATTCAAGATAAAGAAGGAATACCACCAGACCAACAGAGGCTTATTTTTGCTGGAAAGCAGCTGGAAGATGGCCGAACTTTGTCTGATTACAACATTCAAAAGGAATCAACACTGCATTTGGTGCTTCGTCTAAGAGGAGGCATGCAGATCTTTGTCAAGACCTTGACAGGTAAAACCATTACCTTGGAAGTGGAGCCATCTGATACAATTGAGAATGTAAAAGCCAAAATTCAGGATAAAGAAGGAATTCCTCCAGATCAGCAGCGTTTGATCTTTGCTGGAAAACAACTCGAAGATGGTCGTACCCTTTCAGATTATAATATCCAGAAGGAATCTACTCTACATCTGGTCCTTAGATTGAGAGGTGGCATGCAGATCTTTGTCAAGACTCTTACAGGAAAGACTATCACCTTAGAAGTTGAGCCATCTGACACTATCGAAAATGTTAAAGCCAAAATTCAGGACAAAGAGGGAATTCCTCCTGACCAGCAGCGCTTGATCTTTGCCGGAAAACAACTTGAAGATGGCCGTACCCTTTCAGATTATAATATTCAGAAGGAATCTACTCTTCATCTAGTACTTCGATTAAGAGGTGGAATGCAGATCTTTGTCAAGACCCTCACGGGTAAGACTATCACCTTGGAAGTTGAGCCATCTGACACTATTGAAAATGTAAAAGCCAAAATTCAGGACAAAGAAGGAATACCTCCAGATCAGCAGAGGCTTATTTTTGCTGGAAAACAATTAGAGGATGGTCGTACCCTATCTGATTATAACATCCAGAAGGAATCAACTCTGCATTTAGTGTTGCGTCTTAGGGGCGGATATTAAGGCTACTTATCATTTCATTCCATCAAAATTCCATATCAGTAAATTGCTTTTGATATTTTTATTAGCATTTTCATTATTATATTTATAATTATTTCATAAATACAATGTAACTAAACTAGAAATAAACAGTTTCTTTAAGTTCAATTTCTGGATTTTTTTATTTTTATCCTTTATTTTTAATTCAATTTCATTAATGGTTGTAGTCCTTTATTAACTAAGGATGAACTAATAACTTTCCTTTAAAAAAATTAAGAATAAAGTATGATTAAAGTTAAATATTTTCTGCAATTTATTAATTTTTACAATGAGTCTCTAGATATATTTCATTTGATTTGCAATTATGTTAATTAGTGCTATTTGCTACATAGTATTAAATAATGATATTTAGTTAACTATTCAAATAGATAAGTTAATAGAGGTTTCAATAACTGACAATGGTGTTGGATTTGTACCTTAATACTTTTTCCTTCCCATTGAATCAAAATTAATTGAGGATTTTATATAATACAGCGAATAGGAAATTTTTTAGAATATTGTGCAGTTTTAATTAAAATTCAAATGTTTACAGTTAATATTAATACAAAATTAAGGTATGTCTAATACCCTAATATTAAACCCTGATTTAGCTATGTGGATTGTCTCACTATATATCTTATATTTAGGCATAGTACCTCATCGATATACTTAAATAATTAATTAATGTTATTGAATGCAATGTATAATCAAATATTATTCGCTGTTAAGTTATAGATGGATTTTGCAGTTTTGAATTGAATTTTTTATTTTAAAAACACTTTATTTCTACCAGTATTATGTTATAAAATTGTTTGACATGTATTAACTATACATAAATCTTCCAATGCAAAAAAAAAATAAATTCACAAAGAAGCATATAATATTAGGGATGGGTTGATACCAGAATTTTTGTATCTGATACAAATGGGTCAGTAGTTTATCATTACCTTCTTATTACTTTTTATCTGATACTTGTATCTGGCATTTTTATCCGATACAAGAGCACGGTATACATACTGGCACTTGGGCTTGATAACCCAATAATTGAATTAGATATTTTAATCAGACTATCCAACTAATTGATATACCTATCTGGTACCTGGTACCTAATAAAACATATATTTTTTGTTAATATGACATATAACATATTTGTTAATATGTTCTAATGACTAAATAGTTATGTTAGATACTATGCTGATATGTACACATTTTTTAAACAAATATAAAATATGCTTTATATTTGACAAAAGATTAGAATATATTTAATTAAAAATAAAAATATAACAAATTCATGCAGGGAATATTTTTTCCTGATGAAAGATTCTAAATATTATGAATAAACATAAGGGGTTTAAAATTAAAAAAAAGTATAACAAAACTATACTAAAATATTAATTACAATTTATTAATATGTATTACATACAAATAAGTCATAAAATCTGGACTAAAACAAATGGATTGTCAACTTCTGAGAAAGTTCATATCAATTAACATAACATTAAAAACAAAAACAGTGTATACATATATTTATCACAATATATATATATCACAAAATAAATATTTAACTAAATTAAAATAAATGAATAGATAGTTCTAAAAATTTTTGTATAACTAAACATATATAACATTCCTCTTATATCAATCTGGCGAGTCAGGACAACCATTTGTATCCATGTGAGCATCTGTATCAGGTACTACTCTGTATCATTATCAATTCAGCCCAAACAACTAGGATTTAATTTCTAAACTAATATGTGCTTTTATGAAAGTCTGAAAATTTTGTATTCACTCTTTAAAAATATTTAATTACAATCGTTAGAGTGCAGGATTAAAAATTATATATATTTGATAGTTATCAATTATATCGGAATGTAGTCAATTGAATTGATTTAATTTAATTGAAACAAATGATTAAAAGGACTAAATTATGGTTAACTGCAGAAACAGAAGTGTAATATTTTTGTGAACATAATGATACTCAATTTTTTAAATGAATGATATATGTATAGATTGTTTACACTATATTTTTTACGGATCATAATTTTCAAAAATATTATATGAGCCTTTCAGTCTACAGAATGACCAACCAACTCTATTTCAACATTTTTGATTAGTCATTTTAGTGATATAGGTGGAAAATTTATAATATCTGTACTGATAGTAAGTTGATTCCAAAGTAGGTGATTGCAGTGTTGAAATATAGAACCATGAATAAAGGTATAAATTTTCCCAGTAGGAGGATCACTAAAATTAATTATCAAAAATATTGAAATTGGAGTTACGTCATTCGGTCAACTGAAAGGCCCATATAATGGTGCATTTTTCTCAAAGACATGAAATTGTAAGGTCATTTTCTGTAATAATTGACTCAGTTAAGGTCTTAGACTTTTTTTTTTTTTTTTATGGGCAGATGTAAGCAGCAGTGTAAACCATTTTTTTTTTCAAAAGAGAAAATGGCAGGTGCTAGCTAGTTCACAAGATTAGGAACTGGAAGTCCAATGGTTTTAATATCTAAATCCTCTCCCTCCCTATTTCATTTTTTATTCTATTGTAATAATTCATGAACAGAATTTTCAGGATGTCATGTCTAGCTCTGACTGGTCTTGTCTTAGTTTTAAGACCAAATTTAGAAATGGTGTTTACTTTTTCTGTTTATTAAATTTATCTATTTTTTCATAATTTCTGCACATTTTAATTTAATTTTTGAAGATAGTTTAATAAGTTAATACTTTACCTTTTATTTTGTTTAAAAATAGTTGACCAGTGTGAATAATTCGCATATAATATATGTCAGTGAATAAAGGACAGAATAATATAATATTCATGTTTTAAAACTATATATTAACAAATTACAAGCTTCCTTTCTCGCCAGATCTATAAGTACCGTTTTTCTTTTAATTTGCAATTTGCTTCATTACAACTCTATATCTGTGCCTCCGAGATAAAGGACACCATGTCTATTTTATTATTAAATAATTTAGCAACCTTAAAAACAAATTATAATAGCTCAAAATTATGGATAATTGTTTCCCTGAAAAGATGTAAAAATGTGACAGAGTGAACTTTTTATCTGGAGTACAGATTTAGAAACTAAGAAACAAATTATAATAGCTCAGAGTTATGGAACATTAGCTTCTCTGAAAAAATATAAAAATTGACATGTTTATCTCAGGAGAACAGATATATTTCAGTAATATATCTTAAACTTTATCTTCGCTAATAATGGTTGGATTTCAATTATTTTGTAAAAATATTAGTAACTTTCAAATAATCAATCTAAAAAAAAATGTGTAGTTTTTGATTATTCACAAATAACAATTCTTTTCGTAATGATGTAGAGATGGTTGACTGTGATATAATAGTCGGCGGGTGCCATCAAATAAATACAACAATAATTTTATTTTAGCCAATTTTTTATTTCTAGTATGAATGGACCATGGGAGCATTACTTTACTTTGAGGCCCCTTTATTAGTCCTATTAAAACTGATCAATAATATGTTGAAATTTACAAAGGCCAATACCCTTTACTGTTGGGATTAATTAATTTTCAGAACTTGGAATCAATTAGGCAATCTCAGCCTTGATGGAAATAAAGCATTCTAGCTAAAATTTCATTTGAACACATTATGTGAAAAGTGATTTTGTCCATCTTATTGCTTATTAGTGACCCAGTTATTCCCAGATTGCAGGTGTGTTCTTTGCACGAGGATTAGGAACAGATTTAAATGTTTCTGTGATTATTTGACTATTTCCTTTTTAGTTTTTAATTATTAGACTTGGGATTAGAGCCAAGCCTTTGAGTTTGTAAGTTTTTAGTTCGTGCTTAGACACTTTCGGCTCCCCACCTCTATTTTATGTTTAGGTCATTTCAAAATTCTGGTCACATTTATATCACTGGACAATTAAAGTGTCAAATCACAACTGAAAGCTGTCAAATAATTTTTTCTCATCATCTACCTTAGAAGCATATTTCTCATTCATTGATTGGTAAAATTTATGATTATGGCCTAAAAAATTTTGTCTGCTTCCTTAATGGTGTCACAAACCAGAGATACTAATATAGTAAGCTGTCCATTGTGAACTATTTTATGAAGAGAGGTCTAAATCTAAGGCTATTGAGAAATGGTATATAGCTAACCTCGATAATCAATTTAAAAAAATATATTATGTCACCCGACCCAAATTATAAACCTATTCTAATTAGAGTGGGAAGGTTGAGATGGGAAAACTTGGAGAAAAAATGAATCTTGACTTGGTGAGTTTTACCAGTTTGATGATATGTTTTGACTTAACTCTGTTTCAAAAGCTGAGTAAGCGTTTGTGCCCATTACAATTAAATCCTCACTTCTTAACATCGCAATTCCTAAATAATCTCCAAGAATAGGGAGTATTTTTTTATTGAGTATTAATACAGTCTGCCACATTGAAGGGCATTGGTATTCATTCAAGAGCTATAGTATTCATTCACACAATATATACATAAGAAAGGAAAATTAAAAATAACCAAGTAAGAAGAAAAAAAAAAGTATATATATAAATAAAAAGATATAGTAATACACAAGGTAAGTAAAATAACAGATCAGCCGAATGATAACAAAATAAATAAAACACATTCACACCTATGTACAATATTTACATTGGTCCAGGGGACTCTGAATCAAGCTTTGTTCCTCAATTGTGGAAGCCAATGCAGGGCTTCAGGAGATTCCAATGGAGACTGATGGAGGGCACTAGAGCAACAGACACTCAGGACATGAGTGAAGAATCTGGCTAGTGCCAGTACTCCAATATATACATTTTTACAAAAGGTCGCAGGGTCAAGAACAAATGGGATATTAAGGTCATTGTGTAGGGTTTTATTGGTTACATAAAAGGGAGCATCAACTATTGTTCGAAGAACTTTAGACTGGAAGGATTTTATGCGTTTGATGTTAAAAAGTTTTGCTGTCCCCCACAGTTTGAGTCCGTAGGTCCAGATAGGTTTCAGGATTGTCATGTAGATTAATAGTTTGTTCTCAACTGAAAGTTGAGATTTTCTATTGAGTAGTCTATATAGTTGGCCATATCGTCGATTAAACCGTTGTCTTTTAAGTCTGGTATGTGGGTTCCATATTAGTCTTTTGTCTAGAAGGAAGCCAAGGTACCGAACTGTGTCGAAGAGGTGAAGTGGTATGAAGTTGAAATGAACTGGTGGACACGACTTGCGCCGAAGGATGAAGGTGATGTGTTTGAATTTGGATTCATTTACTTATTTGGATGCGCCACTTATTACACCAGTGTTCAATAAGAGAGAGGTGACGACTTTGTAGGTTAAAGGATGCTGTTTCGGGATCTGAATTGGAAGATAGGATGGCTGTGTCATCAGCGAATGTTGCCATGAGGGTTTCAGAATGAGTAGGAATATCAGCGGTAAAGAGAAAGTAAAGGATAGGACCCAAGACGCTCCCTTGAGGAACGCCCACCTGAATTGAATAACACTCATTTCTAATTAATTCAGGAATGAGAAATATTCAAAACGCATAAAATTAAATTATTTTAGTTGTAGCCTATACTCTTTAAGATAACAAATATTAAATTATTCTCTGAGTTCTAAAATTAAATTTTAATTAATATTTATATAGAAATATGAAATTATAATTACTTTTGGTTCTTAGAGTTTGTAAATGAAAATAAAAAAAATCTGATCTTACCACATAATTTATTTAATAAAACAAAGAGCATTTATAATAAAGAAATAAAATAATTTTTTAATGAAGAAATATTGAACATACAGAATGAAAAAAAAAAAATGCTAAAACTGTACACTAGTGAAATATTATAAGATAAAATCTACAAAAAATATAAAGTGTAAACAATCAATTTTTACATTATTTATACTATTTTTTGGCAGTATAAGTATCATTAGATATTCATAAAGATTTTCTATGGTTACTGCAGTAAACCATAAATTTATACCAATACAACTACTTACAAACGAATACATCTATTTGTAGATATACAGAGCTCTGAAAACGTTTCAACAAGAGACTTAATAGAAATAATTTAAATTGAGAGATGAGGAAAAGATTATTATTTTGAAGCAAATATTGTAGTAAAGAAACATTTATTTATTATAATTACACAAGTCAACAATTAATATCAAGTAATCCACCAGTTTATTTTTGTGCACAGCAATCTCTCTTCAATGCTAAAAATTAAAAAGGCTATATAAACTAGAGAAATATTTCCCATTCTTTTTTGGAACTCCTCACAGGCCTGGAGGATTTGGTTGCCATAATATTAAATTCCTTATTTCTATCAAGCAATTCTGAGAAATGTTCTAGAAGAATGAATTTCGGCCTCCGAAGTAGACTACTCCTTATATTTTAACTGTGTTATTTTTTCGTTGTGAAATACTCTGTTATAGTTCTGGCAGTGCAATTTGTTGGTGTTTTTAACATTAATATTTCTTTTTCCAGTTTTCAGCCTAAATGTGTATTATATATTATTCACAATGATATAAATTGATCAGAATTAATCTAGGCTTCACTGTTATTATTATTAGAATTTTTTATTATATCTGAACTTTAGGGCTATTATTTTTTTATTATTGTTATTTTTTTAATTTATCACTCACCCCTTTGTATCTACTAGATATTATCTAGGAACTAAAGACCTATTGTTTTATAATCAATAATTCAGGATGTCAGCTGTTGTGTGTTGCTAGGAGCTACAGATTTTTTTAGTTTTGTCCCTTGACTATGGTGAAGTATTTATTTAAATTTTTCAGTTCTAAAAAATGGATGGGCTATATGAAAGAGAAGCATTGCAATTTACAGTTAAAGGCCCTATTCCTATAAAAGGTGATGATGAAGTTGATTTATCAGGAGTATCTGCAATTGATATTACTCTTAATGAACCTACTGCAGTTGGAGAGCTTGTTTTTAGAAATTATTATACAGCAACCATAGCAGTCCTCATCCTTTATGATAAATGTAATCAAAATTTTGATAATATATTCATTTATTTATTTGATTTTTCAATTCATATATTTAATTTGTTTAAGATACTTAATATGATATAATTTTCTCACATAGCGATTAGCTTTGCATAATTTTGATGGTATTCTATTTGCTGTTATTTTTTGAACATCATAGAGTTTTCTTGTTCATTAGAATTTATCAATCTTACTTTCTGTAACATCTATTTTTATTATTAAGATAAATGTTGATCTGTATTTCTGTCGTGGTCTGGCAAAACAAGATATATTAATTTTTGGATATTTCCTATCAAAGTAAGTAGTTGATATTCTATTTAAAAAGATCAAAAGAGATGAAGTAAATGGGTTTGATGATGAGTATGTTTTTTTTTTTCATTTAAATACTACTTTCAATTGAAATTTTGTTTACTGATTTTTTGAGATCATTTAATTAAGTCAAAAAGAGTTGTCTGGTTTTACATGAAGTCAATGTAGCTTAACTTGAGGAAAGGCCTGTATGATAAGTATTCATTGGTTGGTCAGAGCTATGTTTTTATTGAGAAATGCTCTTTGTTGCTTAGAATAAAATGGCTGGACGAGAATTTAAGCTCAAAACTAAATTCAATGTATACAAAATATATAGGCTTGATTTATTGTAATGCTTATTTAATTATATGTTCTGTTAAATTATTAATTTAAAATAAACCTAAATTAAATTATTATTGTAAGCTTAGAAATAGAGATGATTAGAAAACATGGGGGAGAGCCTCATAGTTGGTTGGTGGGTGTGGTCAAATTAAATACTATATATTATAATAGTATTTTATGTATATTTATGCTGGAAGTCTCCCAACTGCCTCCAGCAGCACCTGATACAATGCCCTAATGAAGACCTCCAAAGTGGGTCAAAATGTTGGCATAACCAATAAAATACTATTGTAATAAATAATATTTAATTTGACCGCACTCCTGACCAACTTCTTCTCAAATTTTAATCATGATCAACCATCTCCAGACCATTGTGATATTTCTGTTTATTGAAATATATTGGCTTAATCCATCCCCTTAAGAGATAATTACATATTATTTTCCCCCTTTTCATATTTAGATATTCTTTCTGTTATTCAGATTTTTAGAGTATGGTTAAATAAATAGATAAATGACTTAAAACTAGTTACAAATCCAGCCTTAATATTATATTTTAAAAATGCTTCATCCTTGAAAGCTTTACATGAATTTCTATGTTTCTTTTGTAATTTCGGCTTATATCAGTTATTTTTTGTAGCGAAACGCTCTGAAAAAGCTGATAGAAAGAGGTCATGGTCGTGCTCAGTTACCCAAAAGGTACTCATGCCTAATCCTCATCTTGAGACTGGTAGTCACGATGTATTCTCTATAACGCCTTCTGATTCTTGCATACCATGGAATGACATTAGTGTTATGAGACTTATTTTGAGACAGCCTAGTCCTCTTTGGATAACCTTCAAGATAGAAGAGGTATTCAGAATTAATTTTTATTATATTAGTGCTTGCTAACATGACAAATTTAATAAAATTAATAGTTATTCACATTTATCTCTTTGCATTAATACATTTGACATATTTTTATTGAAATTGGATATAATTATCACTGTACATGGATAAATTTTTTCGAATTTTCTCACAGAAATTAATAAATGAAAAAAGGAGTTGTAGAACAAAAAAGTTGAAATGATCAAGTGAAAGGTTCTCAATCAATATTTATCAATATATTACAACTTATTCATAAGTTGAAATTTACTCTGCGGCTACACCACAAAAAAAAGTTAAACCTCCAGTAACCAATTTTAACTGGTAATACCAACCTTGATATAGTATAAATTAATTGCAAGTTTTCCTCTTCAGTTGTTTTCTCCCAGATAATCTACTTTCATTTTCTGGATTCATTTTAAATTACCCCCCTAAAGATTCATCAAAAGGTCTGCTGAGCCTCCTTTCGTGCATTTATATTTGTACATATCTTTTCATTTTAATAGGTCGGGAAGTATCCTTCCACCATAGACCTGTACCACCTCATGAGATATTAGATAGTGTGATGTCTGGAAGATCAGGAAAACCATATTTCCATGGATTAAGTCCATGACATGATTTGAGGTGAAGAACATTGGAGTAAAATAGATACTTAGAGCCTAAGAATGGCTATAGTTAGGACAGTCCATGCCACTCCTTTCATTAGTGCTTTTCAAATCTGTTCTCCTGTTGCTAGCTTTGTTAATCAGGAAAAATAGATCCAAAATTTTCTTGAAAGGACTATTTATGCATTTTAAATTTTATACTGATATGGATTGAAAAGTAACTGAGAAAATAGTACAAGGAAAAAGGGTTGTTTATCATTATTTAATTTTTTCTACAGTTTGATGGAATTCATTACATCCAATTACACATTGTATTGCAAATTATATCACAAACATTTTTAAAAGTATGACAATATTTTTATGTTAGAAACTACATACTCATACGTGTAGAATACAAATAATAGAAATATCCATTAAGTTTATTACAGTCTAAATTATAATAGCTCAGGATACATACACTTAATCATATTGTAAAGAACAACCACAACATGGATATTTTGTTTAGGTGAATCTCTATAAAGACTTACCTCGAATAATACACCGTCCAACAGCTGATTCAAAAGAATTAGATAAGCTGTTAATACTTCTTAAGCGCCAGACTGTTTCAGCCCTCAATTGGCATCCATCACAATCTATTAACATCAGTGTACCTAGCAGTGCAGATGTTCAAAGTTCCTCATCTTCTCCAAAACAATCTCCCAGTTGTGAACAAACATCTTGTGGTGGTTATGAAATTCACAGATTGCCTTATAATTAATAAAAACAAACAAACATTGGTTCTAGGAATCTTACAAACTCAGTGTTGGAATACTTATCTAAGTACTTAATACAATTACATTTAACACTAAAATTTTATATAGCAGTTTTATTTGTATGAATTAAAAATTATTGTAATAATAAATTTTTTATCTTTCATTGGTCCTTAAGTTGTTTATGATTTTAAATAATTTATTTTATGATTATTTTTAATTAGCATTTAATGAAATTTGTCTGCAATTACCTATACATTAAAGAATTGAAAATTTAACTATACTCAGTATATTGTATCAGAGTAAAATAAAATATTTATAATTATTAAAATTTATTTTATGATTATTTTTAATTAGCATTTAATGAAATTTGTCTGCTACTACCTATCCATTAAAGATTTGAAAATGTAACTATACTCATTGTATTGTATCAGAGTAAAATAAAATATTTATAATTATTAAGTGTTTTTTCTCATTTTTATTCTTAATAAACTAATGTATAAATATAGGTCCTTTTCTGTTCTTTCCCTCCTTTATAAATTTCCCTCATTTTCAGGTTCCTGGTCACAAGAGAATTAAAGTTAATGAAAAAGCTGATGCCCTCACAAGAAAAAGGAGAAGAATTTCCTATTGTAGGTCTGGAACCTACAATAACAATATCCAAAAAACAGTAGCGGAAAGACGTCCTTGATTGGATTTGGAAAAGAGCAGGTAAGGACTAGAGGGAATACACTGGGCTTAGACAAGCCAAACCATAAAGCCTCTCCCTCTCCAAAACTAAGTGTAAGTGGCTGCTGGGCCTAAAAGGAAATCCTAAAATTAAGAAGGGAATACTAATAGGCCACTGCAGACTTAAAAGATACAACTTTGCAAAATATGCAGAAATGCACCATAAACTGTCCTTCACTTCATTATAGAATGCAACCGATTTGCGTTGCTCAGATACAGACTTCTGGGCGCAGACAGAATAAAAGTACATGAAGCTACCTCCATAAAATGGTCCAACCTTTTGAACTTCATTAGAAGAACAAAAAGGTTTTAGACAGAGTTGGAGGAATAATGGACAAGCATTGGTAGTATTGTCTTTGGGTTGACAAAAAGCACCAATAAGCCCACTTGCTGGACTAAGTTCCCCCACCAATACCAGTACCCAGTATCAGCAGGTCCTTTTGAAGCTTCTCCTGATATGCTCTGACATTAGAGATGTATCTATTTCCTCTATAAATTTATTGAGATCTATCTTTAGTTTAACATGAACCAAGTTGTAGTATTCATTGCATGCTGACACTTATATGTTAGCATGTGAAGTTTTGTTATCCTTTTGAGACTTTTTGTGATTTAAATGATGTATGTGTTGAGATTAATTAACGTGAGCTAAAAAATGAATAAATAACTAGCAGAGTACCTGGAAATAAACTTGTGATAAAGACTGCTATTTCAACTTTTGTAGTGGATTTTAAGAATGAGTGACCTTGATGGAATTTCAAAGAACTGTAGTGACTGTGGTAGATAATTATTTATTTTGTTTTATGGTCTTTGGATCGATCTTGGAGTCGGGTGTCTCTACATCTGGGTTCATATCCAACCTCTATAAAGTGAGTATCCTTTAATTCAAATCGCATTCTAACTCATCCAATGGCTTAGAAACAGTACTTCATCACAACATACTTAATTAAAGACCTAACATAGGTTTTACTGGTATAGGTTTTTAATTTTTTTATTTTTATTTAATGTATTTTCTGTAAACAAGATATATAATTTATAGTAAAAATTTAGGATATTTATGCTAGTGAAAATGAATGATAATTGTTGAATAGGATTTAGGAATCAAGTTGAGCTTCATCAAGCCAAAGATTGATTCACTGATTATAAATTAAAAAAAAAGTAAATAAAAATAATGTTTTGATTTGAAAATAAATATAAAAAATACTTTTGATCTTTTTCTGTGAGACAGTCTCGAAGTTTTAAAAATATTTATTGTTTATTTGATTTGGAAACTGATATCTGATAATGTGTTTAGAATTATTAATAAAGTATAAAAAATATATAACAGTAAAACAGTTTAATAAGTGCAAGTTTTTTTCACTTTTAACATGTATATTTTTTGGAAATTATTTATTTTATTGTTAGTTTGATAAGAAGTTTTTCTATTGTTATTACAGACTTTGTAGATTTTTTACCGCCTTAACCAGCCTTCTGCTTCTCTGCCTTCTGCCATCTTGGTCTATTTCTTTCCAGTTATCTGCATGCAGCTCTATTGCATCTAATTAATTCAATCTATCCATCTGCTTTTTGGCCCTTCCACATGGTCTTTTGCCTACTATTGAGGCTTTCATTGATGTATAGAGGCTTCCAGATGGATTAGTCCGAGCTACATGACCTACCCGTCTTAACCTCCGTGCTTTCATATTATGAGGTATTGATTGACCAGTGTTTGTAAGCAGCTCTTTACAGAGCCTTTCTCTTCCATGTGTTAGTACTATGATCCAAGATTGTTCCGGTTATCTTGCGGAGGGTTGTTCTCTCTAATCTTTCAATACTTCTTTATATGGTGCTGGTTAGGGTCCAGGTCTTGCAGGGGTACATCAGAACTGACTTTATCATAGTATTGCACAAGTCTTAGCAAGTTTTGCAATAATCTCTTGGTTGCTTCTAAGGACAGCTATACCATATGAAAATCCAAGGATTTTATGATTCATTCCTATGTGTACCCACCCCTCTATTTTCATGTAATGTTCTTATCATCTTCTCGCAAAGTTGAACAACATCGGTGAGAATCTATTTCTCTACCATAAGCCAGTTCGAACTTTCAAGGCTTCAAATATTTCTCCTTGTACTAGCACTTGACATTTAGGGCCATTTTTACACACCTATACCAATTTCATCAACTTTCCGGAAACTCTCAGTTCAGCCATGATTTTCAAAAGACAGCTCCTTACTACGGAATCATTGGCTGCTTTAGAATCAACAAATAAGGCATGGACACCCTTTGACTATTATTACATAGGTTAATTAAATAATACTCACATTTGAAGCTTTATACTTTATTGAAAATAAAAAATATGCACAAATAGATTGAATGAGAGTGCAACATTCATTATGATGAACTATTTGAAAATTAACTTCTTAAGAGATAAATCTTAGCATTGAATTATAATTGACAATTCATTTATGATTTACTTAACTTAATCTTATTAAAAATATATTTTGTCAAAGAAAAAGAAGTATGAATCTTTTGTTTTAGGCAAATGAATGATTAATATATCTATTATAAACAAAATAATGTTAAGTAAACTATGATTAGAAAAAATATTTGATATATTGATTTGCCAAATAATAATAACAATATCCTTTTCTTCTTCTTTTGACAAGAATTCAGACTAGGTAACACTGATTTCTCTTTATACATTTCTTATAGTCCTAGCTTTCTCAATGCTTTAAGATCAACATCACCATAGTAGTCCTCACTGAAACAAAGAAAATGTTATGTATATATTTGTTTTACAACTATATTAGAAATGGCTTTTTATACAGGACTGCTCATGTCAGACTATATAGTTGGTTAAATATTTTTTTATTTAGTAAAAAAAGTTATTATTTTTAAGAAAACAATGAGTTTCATTTAATTATTCTATTATATCTAAGGAATTTCATATTTTCATGGCAGTTATTCATTCACTTAACTTAATTTTCTTTCTATTTTTTTGTTTAAAAAATAAATAAAAGTATTCAAATAAATAAAAGATTCTTGTTACCCAGATTTTCACCTTCTTATTTTCAAGTCTTATACTATGAAAATATTAAATAAAAATAGAACCACAGATATCAAACATACAGTTGAGATCATAGAAATTGCATTACCCAGTAAAATTTTTATTTTATTCACCACATTGCTATCTGCAAGATTTCTTTGCCAGTTTTGAAAAATATTCCAAAAACAATCGCACCATTACGTGGTCAAATTGTTCGTTTGTTTTTTCTGTGTGATACCTTTTTTGTTTTTCAAAACTATGACTACCGTTGATTGGTGGTACCCAATTTTTGTTACTATTTCTCATGAAAATTTCTTCACTTCATGTAACATAATATTTTTTTGAAACTGTTTATAATTACAGCTTTTGTCCTGCTAATAGTTAAAACTGGAATCAATGTTATCAACATAAGAATCAAAACAAATAGGTGATGCATTTTCTATGACCGTGACTGTACAATAGTAATGGAACTGAGACACTTTACCACATATTTGTAATTGATGAAGAACATGGATTGGCAGTAGGGGTGCCCAGGAGGGGGTTTCATGGTGCTAGTTGTTCCATAAAAATTTTTGATTGGCGGATATTTTGACAGGTTTTTGAATTTTTGAGGGGGCAAATTTCTACAGGGTTATGAATTTCTGAACTAAGAGACAAGGACAAGGAGAAATACATGGAACATACCACAGGAAGTACAATTGTATATGATATATGGTATATTTGTAATTGTCCACGATTTTTCTAATTATACCATATCTTACTCTGTTTTTAAGAAAAGGTGAGCAATATAATATTTTGGGTGAAGAGGGAGGGGTAGGTTCTTGCGCCATCGACCTTGGGTGGGAAGGGCACCCTTGATTGGCAATAAAAGACATTACTTTCCCATTTACATTCCCCTGGAAGTGAGCAGGGAAGTAGGCATGAAATAGAGAAGGATGGAAATGGGAACTTTCCACTCACTCCTACACTATGCTCCCTTTATTGGTGGTTTTTGGTGCAGAATTCAAAGGGTGGGAAGTATGAGTGGGAAGGGATAGCTTACATTAAGCTTTTCTTTTTAGAAGCCTTCAAGCTATTCATCTTCACCAAGTTTTTTATTTCAATTCTTTTCTTTGGTTCAGTATGCAGAAATAAAGAACAAATTTTTTTTTGTTATATTTTTTGATAGATTGTGTGTATTGACTAATATTATAATATTTGTTAGCTTCATCAAGAGTAAAATGCTGTAATATTTCTAAATACGTGATCAGAGTTAACCTGTTATTTTAAACAATCTCTAATTTTGCTCTAATTAGTCAACAGTTATTATCTGGTCAACTCTGAATGATTGTAAAAATTTGATATCTTTACGATGAGAATATTTTTATGAATTATCATTTTTCTTTTCAAAATTTAAGAAAATATAGAGGGCATGTTGCACAGATGAGTCCCGACGAAATGCCTAAAAGAGTCATGGAAGAGGAAATTCATTGTCCACTAAGAGTCAGACGGTCCAAGCTCCGGTAGATTGAAGGCCTGGTACAAGACACTTGAGACCTGCTTGGAGTACGAAATTGGATGGTAGCAGCCCAAAACCAAGCCGGATGGTGGAGACTCATAGAGGAGGCCAGAACCCATCCCAGAGTTGAAGCGCCATCTGATAGATAGATATATAGAGGACAATTAACCAGCAACAGGATAGAATATTTTGTTTGAGAATATTTTTAAGATTATACTCCGAAGTAATTTGTAGTCTAGCTTTCTTTGCTGAACGAGTCATCCATCCTCATTACATGATTGAATCATTAAAGCTGTCCTTTCTCTATTATCTGATTGAGAGGTTTACTTTTGAATGTAGTCGGTATCGTTATGTTGCTTATCCGATCTCTCTTGTTCCCATCTATTTTCCTCAGATAACTCATTTCCAAGCTTTAGAGGAGGCGGCTGCAATCACGTTAGGAGCCAGGATTCGCTTCCATAAGTGAGGAGCCACTTCTCTCTTACTTAAAAATTTTCTATTGATGGCAGAGAACATCCTTCCTTAAGTGGCAATGCTTTTATTAACTTTGTCTCAATTTCCCGCTCTCACTGATCGTCACACCCAAGTACTTGAAGATAGGAACCTGCTCTATCATCTACTTATTAATATGAATCCTCAAATTCTTCTTGTTTTTGGATATCAGCATACAGTTGGTCTTGAAAGTGCTAATAACCATATTTATTTTCTAGCTCTTCTGTCCAGACATCTAAATTTGCCTACAGGCCTCTGCTACAGCTTTTCTTCACTGTCCGGTATTAGCATGTCATCAGCGAATGCAAACGATGAAGAGTTTACTGGTTGTAATTTGCAACATTCAAGTTGTGTCTCCTTGGTTCTCTGTTTACATTATTTAATCACATCATCCATGAGGGTGATAAAATATAGAGGATTCCTTATGTCTCCTAGCCTGATTGTGGTGTCCATTGTGGTGTAAATTAGACGGATGTTTGATGTGATGTTTTTATATAATTTTTATAGGTCTTATAGAATGATTTGATTCTCCGTATAACAGCCTCAGATACTTGTTTATAGTGGAGCTCATTCCAAGGTATCCTGTTGAATGCCTTCTCTAAATCTATAAAACATACGTAAACCTCTTTGTCGTACTCCATGAATTTCGCACATATTTGATGTAATGCAAAGATGTGGTCTGGGGTACTCCTGCCTGGTCTGAAGCCACACTGCCTCTCGTCCAGTCAGTGTTCTATCCTTCATCAATTTTCTTTCTAAGATATGTGAATATATTTTACCAGGGACACTCAGAAACCAAATGCCGTTATGATTGGCGCATTCTCGAGTATCACATTCTTAAAGATTGGAACAATGATTGTGATTTCCCAGTCTTACAGAATCTTCTTACCTTTTCAGGCCAATTCTAATATCCTGATAAGCAATTAATCTTCTGCCTCCCCCAAGTACCTAAGTATCTCCGGTGTTATTATATCATGTATCAGTATTATGCTGGCTAAACGATCTGTCAATGTGGTAACGTGAGTACCATCTGAGCTTCTCAAAAAGTAGGAGTTAAATGTCCTATTTAGATCTCTAAAGCCACAAGGTAGGAATAGCTGCCAGAAGGAGGCAGTCCCTCCACTGCACTAGGGGACTGTGGGCTGATCCCTCACATGCCCAGTTCAAGATGATTAACAGAAACACAAGGGAGAAAGCTGAATTGTTTTTAATGGCTATGACTTGGCTAGTACACAGAACAACCAAATATTTTTAAATTCATTTCCCTTAAATATAAGTATGATTGAATTCCCCCTGACCTGAAGAAATAATTCTATAATGTTACTATTTAAGTATCTCTTCATCTCAGTGATCATAGTTTAGATTCTATTAAATAAATATTTATTATCCTGTTTTTATGAAGTAATGGTTGTAGAATATAGCCTCATAAAAAGCTTAATTTTTTTTCTTGCCCTCTTCGTATTACTGACATTTATCATTGTAGAGGCCATTTAAAAATCATTTTAGTGATTATCTGTAGTAAAACTTCATTATTATATGCCACATAAATCATTATAAAAATTTAGGCCATTTTCCCCACTGCGCCTTCTCTCTTTTCCTCGTTGATATTTTTCTTCCCAGCTACAGCTAACCCTTTCATATTCTAGCATCTATATCACCTAAATTATAATAATTTCTTACATATTACATCATTATCAACTCTGAAAAATGTAGATCTTAAGTTTTGTTGTTTATCGCACAACAAAGTAAATGCTAAAAATAACCTTCCTGTAGGAAAATAGAAAAATATGAATTCCAGCAGTGTTAATTTATTTCTCTCTTCCATCTTTCTCATTCTCAGAAAAGGGTCTAATAGTTTATTTTAACAATAGTTTTTAAATGACCAATGAGAAATATGCATTCCAACTTTCATCTAAAGGGGTGCTGAACCCATCACTCCGAAGAAATTACATTGATATCTGACTAAATAGTTGAAATCCAGTGATTTAAACATGAGTACCAATTTTCACCATAATCTCCCCAGCCATTCATAATTGATCCTGGATACCAATATTTATCTGTAGCGAAGGCACTGGTTGAAGGGGGGGGGGAAGGAGGTAGGCACAAGGCACTTTTTGCTCCTCCAAAACTACTATTCTCTGATCAGAACAACTTGCGCAATAGGGTAGGTTGAACTCTGGTAGTGAGCACTCAAGTGGTAATTTTCTTAATTTACAGTAAAGCAAATTAATTGTTCAAAATTGACAATAATTTTGTAATAATATATATTTATAGATAGATAGATAGATAGATAGATATATATTGTTTCTTGATTTGAATCCATTAAGTTACAAAGAAGAAGGGGAGGCTGGAATGGAAACAATCAGATGTGACCGAAGGTCATGGACCGAGACAAGTGGCATAGGTCAAGTAAATCTGGAGCTCTACGCCAGCAGAGCTTTAATTAATGGAGAAAGAAGAAAATAATTCAAGTCATTATTCTAGTAGTATTTATTGAGTCTTGGATACTTCCGTTGTCTGAAATTCTTTTGTGATCAATATAGATTAGTTTAATATAATGTAGGTTCTTTTTTATTTTAATTCATAGTAAATGTTTGAGTGAATATTAGGTTATAATTGTTATAATATATTTAGTATAAATGTATCCACAAGAGAATAAAAGAAAATAGAATGTTTTTATACTTGTACTCATACTCATACTCATTTTTATAGAATGTACTCATGCTCCATGATTTAACATCCTTTACTGGGATGCGTCATACCGATTTGGTTACTGCTTTGTTAATTGGCATAATGAGGTGTATGTTGGTCAGCCATATGTAATTCCTCACAAATTAAATTTTTATTAGTTTCCCAGTAATTGATAGTCTCCTATCTCCTACGTCCATACATAAGTATAGCTGTAGACTAATTATGTCATATCAATTTTGGGTTAACACTAAGATCATGAAACTTTCCTGAGGCCCACCCACTCTTTATAAAATATGGAAAAAATTCAACTCTGGCTGTGTTAGTACTGATATTTTTCATAATTATTCTGATGATTTCAATAACTATATGGTGTATAGACTGTAAAGAAATATGCATTGATTGTTATATTGGAAAGTATTGTAAATAAATAAACAACTTCAATGATTGAAAATAATTTTATTTATCACTGTAAATGGTGTAATTGTTATGGAAGCATGATAAAAGATTGCAGTTGCACTGAATACTAGTGTTTAATGAATGTTACAGTTTATTCAGTGTATCCTTTTATAGCTTAGCTGAAAGCTTACAAGGAGTGAATTATTAAATGCAACTTGGAAGAAATCCACACAATATATAATTAATCATATGAATAAAATAATTGTATACATAAGAGAGGTCCCTCTTTTTTATTTATGGGTAACTTATTTTTAGTTATAATATATGAAAATTCTTGTTAACATTTATAGTTTACTTAAATCAGAGTAATGTTATGATTAAATTCATTGCCATTAGCAATTAATTACTTAATAACAGATAAACCCATTGAATATTGGATAACATCGTTTTTAAATATAAAAAAAAAATTATAGTTCATTACATAGGTGTGATTGCACACTTATCTTGCTGTATAAAAACTCATTTGTATCTGATAAAATTTAATTAATTGTTATATTTACTTTGAAAATATACTGAAAAGTCTAAATGGATGGTAATTAAATTATATTCTGAAATTTATTTTTTACAGTATGGTAAATATTTAATAACAACTTAAGAGTATAATAGAACAGTGAGTTCATTTTTTTGTTTTTTATGTAATCTGGAACAACTTTTATTTTACCAGGTATTATCTACTCCAGAATTATTGAAAACATGATATTTAGACAGGTAGAGTTGGGTAGGGATTTTAGGGCGATAAATTGCAGGATTATTACACCCTGATATTTAGGGTAGTTTTCATAATAATAAAATTAAAATATTTGTTTGTACTATTAATTTTATCTACTTCAAATTCGTATTTATTAGTTTCATTAAGATGTAATAATGTATCATATTATCTATAAAGATGTTAATTCAGCTAAAGGATTTGTTATTTCTGTACATAAAAATGTGTCCTAAATCATTTTAATTTTGGAGATCACTGTATTAAAACTGGTATGAACTGCATTAACATGGATATGTCTCTTGGAATCTAGAGTAATAAACTTTGGAATCCCAACAAGTTAGACGATGCAACGATTATTATTATTTTTTTATCCTCCACTTCCTCATCTCCTAGACTACATGGGGTTCCCATGGGCCAGATTAAGGCAGGGGATTAATTCCAGAGTTAAAATCCCTCCTCCTCCACGACACTGGGACATGAACTCATATCAAGTTATAATCTGTTTATCAGGTTGCTGGGTAACGCAGTGTTGTGCACACGCCTTATCCCACTTGGCCACCTGGCCAAAATTATTGGCTGCAGTGGGATGCAACCATGACCATGCAAAATATGACCTTGTGATATTCACACCTCAAAATGGTAAAAATTTACTTTATTTTTAGGAGATAGAATACTTCTCATATAGATATAGATTGTATTTTCCTGAGAAATACATTCATTTTTTTGAATTATGAACTGTTTTTGTTAATTTAACGAATTTAGAGTAATGATTGACAATTTTTTTTGTAAGATGTATGTAGATTAAAGATAAATAAGCAAGAAAAACTCAAATAAATAATAAGCAAAATCAATCATTTTATAACACTGTATTCTAAAATAGGACCACCTCCCTTATATGTCGATTTTCACTAATTAAAAGTAGTTTTCAAAGACCCCATAAATAAAAACCTGTGTATGGTATTAGTACCATGTATTGTACAATTATTTTACATAATAAACAACACCTTCACATAAAGTAATTGAACAAGTCATTCATTCTCCTTGTCATGTGTGTGCAAATATTTAAAACTATATATATCTACACAAGAATAAAATGTGAATTTTCTTTTTTACACCTTTTCAAAAAATTGTTCTGCTTATGAAATGTTTTGTTAATTATCTTTTCCTTTACTGGTAGTATGTAAAATCTTACTGTTATTATTAAAAAGTTTTTGTAGGAAGTGCAAATGTCAGAATGTTTGCTTTGAAAGTGAACACATGCTTAGATTTATAGATTTGACATACACATACATATTAAAAAAAAGTATATTTTAAAAAAGACACAAACATAAATGCAGGTTAACACATAAGTTAAAGATAAATAAAAACATGCAAAGTAGAAAAATAAGAGGTGTAAGAATACATGCTGTAAGTTTTTTTTTTTGAATTTTGGGAATAATGAAAACACAACATTTATAGAAACAACTATTTGTATTAATTAAAATTACAGAATAATATAGAAAAAGTTTGTAATGATACAATACCAACAAATATACATTGTGCTTTGAGTCTTGGGGGGACAGATTTTCTTATTTTGTTTGAGTTTTCCCCCCTACTGCTGCTTGTCAGGGGAGGTTTTATTGTTTATTGTCGCTGCCTATAAATAGAAATAAACGATAAAACCCCCCCACGGATGGGACTGACTGTGTGGCCTATTCTTAGGCTACAGGTTATTGTTCTGAAGGCCTCGGCGTTGGCCTGGGTTTGCTGGGTACTGCTCCTTTCTGTGGCCTAGCTGATCCTCCATTTCCAAGCGCCAGCTCACTCTTCCTAATGCTCTTCAGGTCGAGGTCACCATAGTAGTCCTCACTAAGGAGAGAAAGGTTAGTGGTTAACATAGAAGAGGAAAGAGTGAGAAACAGCCAAGCACCATCATTAAAGATCATTCCACATGCTTAGGAATTGTTTGTACAATTAGTACTTATGAATGAACATTCCTATCTAAGAGAGAGAACTATAAATGTGGAGTGAGAATGAGTATGATTTAATAATTTGTTCCTTAGGCTCACTCGACATTTTATCATGACTGAAATGTTATTTTTAATATCTCTTTGCTATAGATGTTAACTATAAATATATGATTTGATAGGAAATTATTAGTTAAAAATAAAAAAATATAAATGGTAACTATTCATTCGACTTTAAATTATGTGACTGATTAAATCTATCAAATAACAGCAATTAAGGAAGTATTTGCTGAAAAAACAATACATAAACGCTTTTCACTTGTGGGGTCTTCTGTTTTACAAGGGAATATATTTTTTAAAAATCTGGTGTTTTCTGATTTAAAAATAAAGTTTGATGGAATGGTTTGAAGTATGTAAATCAAATCAAATATGTATGTATGAATGAGCAGTTCTATGGGTAATGATAAAATAATAAAAGGGAATATTGATTAAATTTCTGAGGAAAATATGAATATAAAAATATTTAGCAAAAAATATGTTTTCCACCAAAACATTCAAAAAGTTTTCAATGGTTAATAAAAATATTTTATGGTTATAAACTGATTCTTAGAAGTTTCTTTTCTATAAAAAATGAAATGACTTATCAAAATACTTTTTCCTGTCTTTGCTAAGTGTACCTGAATATAACCAAAATTAGTGATACAATTGATTCAAATCTGGAACTAGTTCATGAAACCTAGAATTCGTTCCAAGGTTTTGTTAAAGCAAAAAATATTTCGGCATTTTATATGCTTTAAATTGAGCTCTCGGAGTGTTAATTTTAGATTATTATTGGAATATATCGGAAACTTACCATCCAGGAACGTCTTCTGGGTCCTCACAGGATCCTGTGCCGTCGGCATCACCGATTTTGAATACTGTTCCAATTGGGCAACCGTACTCCCTTGGGGTACTGTCCAAACAGATGAAGTATTTCCTGCAGTCATCGGGGTGAGCGTGCCTTGAGAAAGAACCGGCGTTGTTAGCTTCGCCTGGGGCTGGGCAGTTGAATCCGTTTGCAACTTCTGGAAATCGGAGATGTAACTTATTAATATTTTATTTATACTTAACAATGCTTTAGTTGGTATTATAGAAAACCAAATTAAAAAAAACAGTCTAGGGTTTATACATATATATCATACTTTTTAGCTACATTCCGTCTTTTCTGACCTAGTTGTAATATATAAGAAAACAGCAGAAAAAGGAACTTTTCAGCTATATAGATTTTTATTTAAATCAATCGGAAATGGACTTATACTCGGCACTTAATGAGTCGTTTGAAGATTTACTATTAACCCACATGACAGATCTTCTTCACGCCGAATTTAGTATTGTACTTTATAAATCATATTGTCAAAGGGTATAATTTAATTGAAATAATCTATGAAGGTTGAAACAATAATGCCTAGTGCCTCAGAAACAGATGGTTTTCTAGATTCCAGTAATTTAACCTTTGAACCCTGTGCATGATTGTGGAGCAGATATTCAAGGTATATCTTCACAATGTTCAAAACAATAATTTACAAAATTTTTTACATTTTAATTTGATTTTATAAAGGATAGGTCGAACTGGAAACTAGAGCAGCCGGTCTGGGCGTGGTGTGCGTTAGGTAATCGCCACAAGTCCTCGCATCCCGGCTTTCCCTTATGCTAAACCCCTTCTGATAAATTTCACTAACAATCCAGTTCTGCTTCGGTCACCTATTTAACAAAATGCAGGTTAGGCATGTTATAGAAACCGGCTTTGGGGTCTTGGATTTACCTCATTTCGGTTAATAGAAAAAAACAACCACACAAACAGGATTCTATTTAAGGAATCATTTCCGATTTCGTCAACTAGGAAATGTAAGATATTCGTGCGACTCCGATTTCTAATATAACCAGTTTGAAAAACACTTGAACCCTCACAAATTGATATTAGTATTGCATTAATTAATTAATGATCAAAAAAATTTTATAAATAAAATAAAACCTTGCAGTAATATATAAAGTTATCAGGAGTTCATTGATATTAAATCAACCATTATACATTACGAATTCACCATTACGAATCTCAAAGTTAAAGAACTAACACTTTTTAAATCTCTCAAATTTTGCTAATTATTACTAACAAGTTTTATTTGTATTTAATCATTGGTATTTTCTATTAAACATTTCAAGAAACAAATAAAATTAACTGCAGTTTTTTTTTTTTTGTTTTTTTTTAGATATTGAATCTCTGATGTAAATTTTTTTTATAATACCCAATTTTGACTTTAATATTTCTGTGCTTGGCTTCAATGTTTTCAAGTAGCTCTTTCTTAGATTACTCAGAAATCCAAAAATAAGTAGCGCAAATTATTTTAAAGGGTCCTATCTCAAATAAGTAAGATAATAGAAAACAATACAGCGTAAATAATTGTTGAATTGTCCAGGTGTCGGCCGGACTGACGTAAGGTCCTGCCCAGCCCCGCCTTTTCTTACCCAACAAACTTATCCAACACAACTTTCACCGCATTCCTCTTGTCGTTGTTCGATAGTTCTCGGATCATCCTCTCAAACACTCGCCCTTCCCCCCACCCATGGAGTCCTAATGTTTAAGAGCCTTATAGTAGTTCAAGACTAAGTGAGGTGAGAGAAAAAAAAGGGTGTATTCTATCCTCTCCGACTTATCACAGCTTAAATTAAATAAAAATTATGATAATTCTCTGTTGAGCAGAGATAATGAGGCGGCACTTATCCGTCATATTTTTTTCAGGGATATTTAATAAGGGCGTAAAACATCCCCGTACAAACAAGCCCTAAAAATAATCATACATAATATAATAATCTAATCAAGGATTGGGGTACTGGGGTGGGGGTAACTTGCACTGGTAATTACGGGGTTGTGGGACGTGGTCGTGGCTGGTGGGTACAATGGATTTGGTTAATGTTTTCCAATGGAGGTGTATTAGGGCTTGTAGTAGGATTTTATATTACAGGGGGCGGTAAGTGCGGGGTGGTTGGAGTGGGCTCCGGCCATGTGTGGGGGAGGGGTGCTGGGGGAGGGGGGGAGCAGGTATGAATGGTGGGTAGGGTCTTTGATGAGGGGTGTTATAGTGAGTGGTTGTATTGGGTAGTTTAGGGCGCCGGAGTTGACCGAATTTCTTTTTTTTTTTGGGTTTTTGCTGCAGGACAGTGGGTTGTGGTTGGTTGGCGAGGCTTGTTAGTGGGAATAGTGTAGTTCTGGTGGTTTGAGGGCGGGGTGGGTTGGGTTGTGGTGTATAGGGTGATGGTGGGTTGATGATGGCCTGCATGTTCGGCCCGTTGTGGCTGAGGGTGGGGGGACAGGGCAAGGATGGAGATTGATGTGTAAGGGGAAGGACTGTTAATTTAGATGTAGACGTTAAAGATGAGGAGTAGGATTAACGTGCTTCCTTTTCGATCCCTCACAATCCTCCGAGGCGTCTGAAAAGAAGATGGCCTCGAGATCTCCTTTTGTAAATACATTTTTAGGGTGCTACCAGTGGGTAGTTTCTCAACAAATGATTTCATGCTATTATATTCTTTTGTTCACATTTACTGAATGTATTTTTACTTGTAATACAGTTGTATATATCATCAATAAATAAATAAATAAATAATCTTTATTGGTATAACAATGCCAGGAAAAATAATTTAGCTCTTTTAAACTCCTTCCACTTATTTCTTTTTAATCCATTATACAACTTTTAGGACTAATTTACCCATCTTCAAGCCTGCTCTTGGATTGGAACAGTGGCTTTTGGATTTGATCTCTATAATTAAATTAATTATAGACAAATACATTAATAAATGAATATATATTAATCATGGAGATATACTAGATATAATATAATATGATATAAATATGTATAAAACATGTCATACCATCGCCTTTGCATTCTGGAACCTGGTCAGCCCACATGCACACCCTTGATTCTCTGTCATAGGCGAGTCCAGGAGAACATTGGTACCTGCTAGCTTCACCGTTCCAGCAGTTCCAGAAGGTATCGCATTTTCCTTCATCGGGGAAGATTCCGTACAACCTTGGGCAATGTGGTGTGCTCTCTGGTGGTTCTGTAATATTTCAAAATCGTTTAATTATTTTAAATGACAAGTTATTATTTTTTTGTTCATTATAAAATGTAACAAATTATTATGACATGTCATGAGGGAATAATTGTTACGATATAATTAGCATTTTACAATTAATTAACATCAAATTACCTATCTAATTTTTTTTCTTCTAATAATGGCAAAGTAAACTTCATTATTAAATAGAATTGGTTTTTGGGGGTGCCTATGTTTACATTGTTTAATGAATGTGAACAGTGATATTAATTTTAGCCACAAAACTAACAAATTAAAAATTATATATCGATGGCCTCGATATATAATCTCTCGTAACTGTTTTTTCGCGGTCGTTTATTAATACATATATATTTTTCTATGAACGGAAATCGATTATCATATATGACTTAGAAGTTTAAAAATTGGAGGAAATCATCGAAATAAGTTTACAGTAGATTTGTACCAATTTAAAGTCACATTCTATTAAGAGGTTTTCATTTAAATTGGAAAAATAAGGGTGAAAATGTCATTCATTAGATTGTTTAATATTTGAGATTATTATATATTCTAAAAAGATTATGTATAGTTTGTTAAGGTTGATTAAACCCGTATACCCACAAAGTATTGAAGGTTTAGTTTCTGAAGGGGCTTCAGAGATTTTTTTCAACTGTAATATTTCAATATATTTTATTTTTATTTTGTGATTGTTTCTTTAGATTCAACGCCCGTATTTAATTTAATAAAATATATACCATATATTATTTCTATACATTTAAAATAAAAATATCTAACCATTTATTTTACCGTCATAATTTCAGCTATTGGTAAGCTTGCTATCATTTTAAGGTATTTTATGATTTTAAGAAAATAAGGATTAGTTTCCATAACTTTTAAATTGTATTACGAATTAATTAAATTCTATATCTAACATTTAAACGGAATGATTGTACTTTATGTGCCTGGTAATAAAATGCATATTTCATTTATACCTATTATCACATTGTATGTCAGATATGCGCCAGTATATGCTGATATAATGCAGTTGGTATGTTGGTCACGCGTTCAAAACGTGAGTGAAGAATTTGTAACGTGTCCGTAGAACTCACAAGAACTATGCAATAGCTAAGCCATTTATCTCCAAATGGAATTAACGCAATCCTTTTGTTGATTTATATACGATTAGATACGATTTATTGACTTCTTTAATATATAATAAAAGTTCGTAAAAATACTAAAGCTTTAAATTAACACAAACAGAAGATTATGTGGAAAATTGGGTACATATTTCACTTAATAACAATACATAAAAAATGATTAATACTCAGTCATTAGTTCAGATTGATTGATTGATAGAAGATTTTAAACGGATATTTAAAATAACAGGATATTTGATCCTTGTAAATATTTATAAATATGAACATTATTCGAACATCTTTCATTGAGAGTTTATCTGTTGGTGAACATTTGAACATAAAACATAATAAAAATGAATATTGTGGGTTTAAAAACGTAAATTTCGAAATACCATGAAACCAATAAAACGTACTCTTACAGACCAAATTGCATTTGTTTTTTATTACTGTAGTAGTTGGCTAAACTGGGCTGAGCAAATATTTTTTTCAACATAAGAGATATAAATGTAAATAGAATTTAAAAGACCTAAAGTTATGAAAATATTTATAAAAAGCATCAACAGAGTATTAGATAAAATATGTATATTGTCAAGGGAGATGAGTTACTAACTAAACAAAAATATTGAAACTGGATCAAGGGACCACAATAATTTTAAATGAGTGGTTTCTAACCGACTTTAAAAGGTAAAGGGATTAAAAATAAAACAGTGAAAATACAGGATGTAAAAATATTTAAATTTTTGAATGATGACATCGTGATTTTAAAGTGATGCAAAAGTTTTAAGTCCTGTTCATAATTTTAAGTTGCAACTAAGTAGGAAACAGTAAATATTTTATTTCTGAGTGGTCTGATATTTTCATATTAAAAATGATTAACGCTTTTTTAAAAAATAGCCGATTCATTTATATTTCAAGCACAAATATTGATTTTCTATTGAAAATAAATTATTTTTCGGTCCTTCAAGATCATATCTTTGATTATGTGTTAATAGTTTAAGACTTTATTCTCTCTGAATAAAGTTTTAAGGACTAGTGGGATGATTGAAAGTACATATAAATGTATGACTTTCTATAATAAAAGAAATAGAAAGGTGACTTTTTTTTTCCTTGGAAAGTTATAGTACTATAATGAAAAAAATTCTAGCATATTCCTTGTGGCTACAAGCATAAAAGGTATAAGTACTCAGACAAATAAACTGTATTTTCTTCTTAGACATATTAGTAATTTCGTATTTATATTAATAATATAGTAGAGGACTTCATATGCCAGCCGATTAAATATGACATTAAAATATGAATTGTGTTAGAGCTTGGAAGGAAATAGCAATCTATTGCGATAATGCAAATGATTTCGACCCTGACATTTTATCCTAGGATCGCTTACCGAGCTGAGTCCTCTCCCCGCAGTCGACGTTGTGGAGGTAATCGCAGTTCTCCTTCAGGTACTTGGGATCGGTATCGTCGAAGGCCAAGCCATTGCCGCACGTCTTCAGCTCCGCGACACCGTTGTCACATTTCCAGTATTTATCGCAGGAAATGTGGTGGGGGTAGAAACCATAGTCATCAGGGCACTTGAAGTCTTCTTTCTGTGCTCTCGCTACATAAACAAAAAAAAAACACATTAATAATCAAAGTTTTAATAAACAAATTACATTTTTTTCCTACTTTCTATAGTTGGTAGTTACTGAAAAGAATTTAATCCTGACATCGAGCTACATAAATTTTAATTAAAATGTGTGTGGTTACCGGGTAACTCTGGTATCAGAGGGAATGAGTTAGCCGATGCCATAACAAAAAAAGCAATGGAAGAAGGAGTTACAGTAAAAAACTTTCGTAAAAGAATTAACAACTTCAGTAAAAAAAAAAGACTCTTGAGGAATGACTGTATCTTTGGCATAATATAGGAGAGAATAAATTAGAAATAGTCGAACCCTCTGTAGTTGGAAATTGAGTGAACTTCCATTTAAAAAAAAAAAAAAAAAAATAGATTATAAGAAGGCTTAAAATCGGACACTCAAGAATAACACATGAGTATCTTATGAAAAAGGAAACTCGATTTCAGTGTATTTCGTGCGAGGTAAATTTAACGGTGACATATATCTTAACTAATTGTTATGCATATGAAGTATCTCGGAATGAAGCGGATTTGAAAAATGATATTTGTAAAATTTTAGAAAGCAACACGAAGATGGCAAAAAAAGTCTTTATTTTTTCAAAAAACTAATCTATATTACAAAATTATTTAAAATTTTTTTTTTGTTGTAAATTTTAATGTTTTTCAAATTGATTGTTAATTTTTATATTGTGTAAAGACTAAAGTGTGTATATGTGATTGAAAAGCAGCAATTTTTAAAAATAAATTCAAACTCAGTGCTAAACATTTTGAATGACTCATACGAACAACATTCCAAATAATAACAGAGAAATTTTAAAAAATGAGCTGGATGTGGATCTTGTTTTTTCTCTTTATGTTTCTTAATTTTTTTTTTCATATCAGTAGATTCATCGTTAGTCACTATTTAATTCGAGAAGTACGTATAAATCACTAAATATATGTAAAAAAAAAACTATCAATATTACATTTTCTATTAACTCAGCGCACCATTTATATTTTGTCGTTTTATAAATTCCGCTTATATTTTCTTTATGCCATTATTCCTTCAGAAATATATTTGAAAAAATATTGATTTTTTGACTCAGGTGGAAATATGAATAGAAATATCAAGATCTTTTCCACGTCAAAATAATTATTTATGTCCTTTCAGACAGCTATAAACTTATTAATTATGGTGCATTATGAAAAAAAAAAATCAAACCAAAATATTCAAAAGGTCGTATAACTCATGATCACTTATGATTGTGCATATTTCTTAATCGTTTAAAACATTAAATAAAGTTGGTGTAATTTTACTGGACGTTTCGGGGTAGATCATGTTTGATAGAAATTGTATACAATATTTTTATTTTGAGTGATAACAAGTTTATAAATTAAATATACGCTATTGACCTGCTCATTAGAAGGGGGTAAAATAAGAACTGAATGGAAGACCTCCTTTCGTGAAGCGAGGGATTTTATAGAGACCTTAAAGAATTTTTATTTAGCTCTTGGAGGATTTGGTGGGATATTCTGTTAAAAATCTACAGATGTTAATGGATTCTTTATAATTATATATATATATATATATATATATATATATATATATATAATATATATATATATATATATATATATATATATATATATATATATATATATATATATATAGATATATATATATATATATATCATCCTGTATAATTATTTTATTAATAGTTACAAGAAAAACTTATTTAAATACTGGATTTAAAAAAGCCTACAACCGTAAGCAAACATTAAGCAATTAATTTACTGACCTAAATCTGGACAAACTTTCTCCTTACTTAGATTTAAGCCTCTCCTTTAGACTTAACGATCGCTTTGCTCCCCCTTCACTCGCTCACTGTCGAAATCTCCCGACCAATCTCCTTTTACTTCAAATGTTGACACATTTCCTACCGGCTTAACCAATTTTTTTCTATCCCTTACTCGCCGAAATCGACAATTGATTGAGCAGCTTGGTACTTTAATGTCTATATCAGTTGTTTTTTCGTTCGTGTTACACGCTGCTTATCAACTAAACAGTGGTAATTACTACTATTTTTTGTTAATACCTCATATAACCGTGAGTCGTATAATTCAAAAAGTGTATTATTGTCTGAGGAATATGAAATATAAAAATAAAGGACGTATAATTCTTGAACAGAACACTTAAAAATATTTTAGTGTGACAAGAGGACTCGAATGAGGGGAATCATGGGTTTAGTTGAATTATGTTACTTTTAATAATGTACTATTTATAATCCAAAGACAAATTCTCTCAGAAAACCACACAAATTATCTATAAAAAACATTTAAGAAGCTGTACATTGCCCTAGGGCTCAAAGGAATGGATGTATAAAACAATAATCCTGCCAGTACTTAAACTCGGTTCAGAATATTGGATTACGACACCAAGGACAAGTCGTGAGTCCGAAAGAAAAATGCTCCGTCAAGCAAGGCACCAGGAGAAGAAGGACGAGTGTCGAATTAAGTTAGTCTGAGATGGTCTTGTTGCAAGAATGTATCCGAGTGAAATACTTTTCAGGATCCTGTAAGAACAAATATATGGTATGGTCCTAGGTTTGATGTTCTGTTAGGAAGACTGTGGGGTTGCTAATGCAAGATCTCTGCTTGGGGTCAGAAGATGGAAGGCAGCAGCATAGTAGTAGCAACCCCGAATAGTAGTAGTAGAGCTATTTATAGCACTATATTAAAAATTCACCAAATCGAGATAGCATGGCGTCCTTCTGATTACTGAAATTCCTTCCTTCCAAGAAATCTGAAGAAAACTAAAATACAGTAAATATCAGAGTTTGCCATCATTGAAAAAAAAAAACAGTCCTAATTATCAGGACAACACACATGTCATTTCGAATTAGTGATTGATCGACTGGCTTGATTCAAGTTCGATCTCAATGCTATTTTTCGCCACGCTATGATTGGCTGGGTGCAGACTGAAGCAATCAATAGAGACGACAAAGGGAGCGAACAGATAGGAAGGCGTCGGAGGGACTGAGACTATTGAGGCTGACTAACTTTCAATTTCATAGTCCAATGTCAGGGACCTGGTCTCGTGTGAACGTCCAGTAGCTGACGCAATTCGGCCGACGTAACCTCCGCACTGTCCACCCCAGGCGCCTAAAATAATTATATAACCTCCTCATATAACAGTTACAACATACTTGCCGCATTAGGCCCGTACCCCCAAAACGCACTGTAATTAGTAATTTTGTTTTTCAATCCTTTTTCAGAATAATTTGAGAGTGTTTGGGCATTAGCTTACAAGACTTGGGAAGAAAGGACATTCCCTTGTTGGAAAAATAATTTTGGATTAATTCATCCGTTAGTTAATTATAATAAATTATTATATTCGAATACCGCCTGATTTTATTTATTCGTAATGACAATATGAGCAATTTTTGGTCCATTGTTTGTGACTATCTTCTTTATGTATTGAATCAATCCATCATAATATATCGACAATACAACTACTTCGTATCCATTGCGCAGAACTCGGCGGAGGGTCATTACGTCGTTAGAGAGACAAGATATTGGGAACGCGCGACGCATTGGCCTGGTGACCCGGGCTGTTACGAATCGGCAGATAAGTTCAGGTTTTGTCAGGAGCGGTGTTACCGGTATGTGTGGTCCAGTTGGCTAACGATGTCTCAATCCACTCCCCAATCTCTTATAGGCTCTATGGCAACAGATTGGACCTTATACATTAACATTAGTTTACGTCACAGGATGTAACCATTTCGTTTTCCTGTCAAAACTTAACATTAATGTACTTACAATTCTTAATGCCAATCCAGTAGAGGCAATATCGTGGTAGCCTGTTAGACTATATGTAATAATAATAATATGTAGTATTTTTAAATATGAGTTAAAGTTCATAGCTCTCCGAGTCTAAAATTAGTTTTTAAAAATTATCTTGTTTCGTTTTTGTTGTTCCCTATTTATAACAACCCCTTGTTATATTTAAATTAAATTACTGACAACATTTCGATAGTAATGAAAACAAAATTGGGAGTTAACCGGTTATTCCTTACATGTGATTTGTAAAGGAATCTGGACGTAGTTTGAGGTAAAAAAAAACTTGTGTCTTCGCTAAGTCAGATTCATCATATAACGTAGAAATTTACATAAAATAATTTCTATATTTAAGAATTTAGAAGGTTATTCTATGTTTTTATATTTAAAAAAGATACCGCTCATTCACTAATAATGATTACTAAATCTCAAATACGACCACGCCTAGAAAGCTAATATTTTGAATGGTAGTTCCTCTATGGTGTATGTGCAATAAGGCTGGGTTTGAGAAAAAAAAAATCGTTCTTTAAGAGCTTAAATTTATATATTAAAGCTAAGATGTTGATATATAACAAAATTCAAATGTCGTTAAATTATAATTAAATATTTCTTAAGGAATTCAAAAGTGTAAAACAAGTTATTGTATCGATTATTGTTATCTTTATATACACGTAAGACTCTTACGAAGCTAAATCGCAAAGAGAAACGTAATGATGGAAATGGTTTATGTTCAACTGACGTTATTTTAATTCTCCTTTCGTAATTCAGTATAGTTTTATTAGCGTATTATCGATCGATTGCCTTAGATATAATATAGTGGTTTCCTCGATTTAGTCCACCACTGAGTTAGAACTCTCGGTTTTTTTATTTAATGGCATGTAAGTGAGTATCAGAAAAATAAAAATTGTTAGCTCATTTTGGAATCGCAAAAAGATATCCGACTTAAACACTTTGTTATCAAGGTTTCAGAAGGATTATTAGATGTAATAATCAACCGCTTGGGACCACAAGGAAGAGGAGATATTAGAAGGTTGTAGAACTGTTGGGGCGGTAGCTAAAGCCTGGAAGAGAAGATGCCACTCAGAGCCGGCTGTTACTGGTGACCCCGGGAAGACACTTTTACATAAGGCTTGGCCTCCTCTTTCACAATAGCTCCTCGTCACTTT